TAATATGGTGACGTAAAATATGTGCATCTTATCATTATAATCTTAGTAAGCATTTAACCAAAGTAATTACTGGTGTATTTAGTAAAAATTAACCGGTTTTGGTGAACAATACAACAATTTTTATTAAGAAAATTTCCGTTTTTTTTTAATTTTAAAAAAATATATATTTTGTGTGTGCCAAATGGAAAGAAGCAATTGGTGACGGTAAGGTTGTATTAAGTGTTTTTATTGACCGTCAACGTGCGTTTGAAACCATTGATAGATCGTTTTTGTAAAAATTGCAGCCATATGGTTACAAAACACAGTGCGTTGCAGTTACTTATTAATAAAGCCTATTACTCAAGTAATAGGTTTCAGAAAACTAAGTTTAATAATAATTTATTAAAAACTATTGTTAGCAAAATAGATGCTCCGCAAGGTAGTGTTTTAGGCCCTTTGTTATTTGTTATTTATATAAATGATTTATTTAAGGTACTAAATGATATCTTCGATATAGGGTAGAGATTATAAAGATAATATAAGTATCACTTACTGGCTAAATAATGAGCCGAAAATTTTATAAAATTGGTTGTGTTAATAAATTAAAATTTAATTCTAATAAGACTAAGTATATGGTACTTGGTACACAACAAAAAAGTAAACATTATTTAGATAATAATTTAGATATTTAATTAATGACACTAAAATTGAAAAAGTCACACAATTTAAGTATTTGAGTGTAATTCTAGATCCTCCGTTGTCATTTGGTTGTCATGTTGATTATCTGTCTAAAAAATAGTAAAAAAAAATGTTTTTTTCAATAGAATTTAGAATTAAACATTTAATTTATAATACACTAACCAAACCCCACTTGAGCTATTGTGCATCACTATTAATATCATGTAAAAGAACAGATATGAATAGGCTTCAAAGGTTGCAAAACAAATGTATGAAAATTATATTGAATTACAATCGATATACAATTGATTTACTGGTGAAAACTTTACTGTGGATTCCTATTTGGAAGCAAATTGAAAAGGCTAATTTGGTATTAATATTCAAAATGCATAAAAATATATTATCAAAGTATCTAGTATCGTATCTAGTCACGCGTGCTGAACTGCATTCATATAATATACGTTTTGGACAAAATTATATAACATTTTCAAAAACAGATGTTTGGAGATTTTTCGTAAATAATTGTATCATGGAATAGCACATGCTAAATAAATATTTATTTATTTAGCAGTTGTTTAAAGTACTACCTAACTAGCACGACCAGATATACCCAAATTCAAAACATTTGACCACTAATTAAAGGTTCGCGCAAGTGACGGAACTGATTTCAGAGAAGTTCGTTAGCTGTGTATGTAGATTCCAAACTATGATCACTGATCGAACAGGAGCAGACTGAGGATCGCCGGGTTATCGTCAATATATTTGCAGTGTGACACATTGCTTTACATTATAAGCTTATTTGTGTTGTAGGTATTTGAAAATATCTATATATGATTAGATAGGAAAAGAAAACAGAAATTGAAAATAGTACATTATATTATTCACTTAAGGAGGTTCGATATATCTTTTGCGGGGCAGGCGGTGCTGGCGGGAAGCCAATGCTTATACACGGTAGTTTCGTTGTAGTACCAACCTTACATAAATTAATTTGAGTGAACTAAATATAATATATACGAATGAAATTTATACAACACATATTAGCTTGCATATATTTTTCGTGTTTAATGAACGGCAATTAACTTTTTATTTGAATAAAAGTGTCTATTTATTCATT